GGCATCTGCCCGCGTACAAGGCACCCAAATCCGCACTAAAGAGCAGCCCTCTAGACGGGGTATCCGGAGCTGAGGGTCGTTTCTACACAACCACGTTCAAGTTGAAGCTCGATAAAGATCTGGATGTCCCCATCGGACTCCAGCTGGGAGCCCCCGAAGGCACACAGGCGGTAGTCCAGGTCTTCATGAACGGATATCAGTTTGGCCATTACCTCCCACATATCGGACCGCAGAGTCTCTTCCCTTTCCCGCCAGGTGTGATCAACAACCGCGGGGAGAACACGCTGGCGATCAGCATGTGGGCGTTGACTGATGCGGGAGCGAAGCTGGACAAGGTGGAGCTGGTGGCGTATGGAAAGTATCGCAGTGGGTTTGACTTCAATCAGGACTGGAGCTATCTGCAGCCGGGCTGGAAAGACCGAAGCCAGTATGCATGAAAGGCCGCCGTCAGAAAGCCGGTTGGTAGCTTCTGGGGATGGGTTGCTGCAGTCTGGCCAGAGTCTTAGAGCACAGGAGTTGTGGATATTCGTGGGAGTATCTAGACTGTCATGAAGACAAAGAAGTGGATTAAATCATTTCGACAATTCAACTCCATATCCAGCGATCCATCCGGAGTAGAAGCCGTCGGGCCGTGACTAGTGCCATTTTTCCCTCGCTTTTTCCTCTCCACCGCCAGTTTGAGGGGATCCGCATAGTATGCTTAATCCTGACTGCTCTGTCCAATCAATCAATGCATCATCAGTCAGTCTGTCTGTCTATCCCGTCTGTCTTGTATCTTCCTTCATCCTGATCCTCATCCTCATCCTCATCCTCGTCCTCGTCCTCCTTCATCTCCATTCTCATCTTCGTCTCCTCAGTCTCTCGTTCTTTTGACCTAGTTCCGTCAGTTTATTGCTTTGTCCGTCTATTTCTGTCATGGACACTGTATAAGACTGTAGCCCGTCTACCCACTACCGATAACAACCCGACTTATTGTCTTGAACCTCGCGTCCGGTCGTTGATCCTGTTGATGGGTAAATCAACTCGCTTCTTGGATTTTGTTCTCGCTTCATCTATGATACCCATATTCGTTCACCCTTCTTAATAATTTGTGCTTCCTCGTTCCCTTTCCGTCATCTCAGCAATCGCCATGACCACCTATCTTCCCCGCCAATCCAGCGTCGATCTAGACTCGGCCGATCGGCCCTTCGACAATATCATCAACTTTCGTGATGTCGGACGGTCGATCAATCAATTGATGGGATCTCGGTATGTCTGATATTACCTTGTCATCAATTGCATTTGCTGACGGTATATGGCATGACTGCGCAGCATCCTAAAAGAAGGTGTCCTTTTCCGAAGTGCAAGGGTGCGCATGAGACTTAGGATCCATTGTCACTGTTTCATTGCTAACAAACAACAGCTGGACGATGCCTCAGAACGAGATAGACGGCGCCTAGCGGAAGAGCTACATATTTCAACCGTCCTGGATCTCAGATCGATGTATGGATGGCAAAGCGTTCATATAGGCATACTGATGCTGACACTGACAGGACCGAGCACGAAATGGCCACTCGGAAACATCGCGGCGAGGATGCTCTCAACCCAGAGCAACCGTCTCTCCCTCCTACGGAGGCCAACGAGCATCTCATGCAGATCCCCGGTGTGCAACGGTCCCTGATCAGTTTAACGGGCAGAGCGTTCGAACGCGCCCTACTATGGCGCTTGGACTGGTATAACCTCATGTATGCGCCCCCCCGGCCCCCCCGACTCTGCGACCTGGTGTGCAGCTATTGATATCTACAGACGAGTTCTCGCCCTCGTAGCTTCGGGCTACCGCACCGAAGCGGTCACCATCGTGGGCCAGCAGGTCATGGCGCCGCGGGGCCTGATCGGGCTCGGCCAGGACACGCTGGACAGCAGCACGGCGGAGATCCGCGAGATCTTCGAGCTGCTCGTGTCGCCGGCCACGTACCCGGTCCTTGTGCACTGCACGCAGGGCAAGGACCGCACGGGTCTGATTGTGCTTCTGCTTCTGCTCCTTGTGCCGGAGGTGTCGGCGGATGCGATCGCGGCGGACTACGTCAAGTCGGAGCCGGAGTTGGTCGTTGAGTTCGAGGAGCGCATGAGGGAGATCCGCGTGCTGGGCTTGGATGAGGAGTATACCAAGTGTCCGCCGGGGTTTACGCAGCAGATCCGGGCCCATTTGGATGCGAAATACGGCGGGGTTGAAGGGTATCTGACGTCTGTTGGGATTGATCGCGAGAAGCAGGAGTTGATCAGGCAGCGGTTGCTCGCATAGCCTTCAGTCGTTTTCGTTTATTTCTATCTGATGATGGATGTACATTTTTAGCTGGGATATCATATTTGTAATTACAGGCGGATATCATGCATGGATTCTAGATTTTAGCAACTTCGGACAAACGAGCAATTATATTAATATATAGTTAAGGAGTTGTATGTATGTCCATAGAAAGCAACCATTAAGAGACCAAGGTATCATTATCTAACATGTTCAATGCATTGTTGTACAGCCAGCAGCATATCAAATCAAATAAGAAAAAGGCTATCATCCATGTGTATCGTGATTATCGTCAAGAATGCCGGTTTTAGTAACCGGTAGAGCGCTGCCCGCGGTAGTAGTTGGCGTTGGGCCCGGTAGAATCCGTCGTCAGGGGCTCCTCAACCACGTAACCTCCACTGGCCCCGTTGCGATGAGGATGAGGAGCATTGGGCCCCTCGTGGGCCATTTCGAGGCGCTTTTCACCCTGAGGGATGTGGCGACGCGTTCGCACAGAGGGTAGGAGATCGACCACAAAGGAGAGTATATATCCTGTGAAAACAAAAGCAATAACTGCGGATATTAGCAACGAATAATTCAGACAAGAATTCAGAACATACCCCATTCCAAGACAGCGGCCACGTTTTTCTTGCCAGAGTTACGGCGAGTGCAGATACCAAAGGCAATGGCCAGTGCGACCTCAATAATCACAAACGCGAGTTTGATCAGAAAGCTCGCGAACAAAATACGATGCTGCGAGCGATAGAAGATTCCCAGCCACAGATACTCGGCGCAGATGAGCAGAGCGCTGACCAGGTATCCGACACTAAAGTAATCAGTTATTCATTTCCGCAAAGCGCAAAGATGTCGCTTACATGAACATGACCAGGAATCCATCGTGTAAATGCGAATGATGCAGCGTATCATAGCACGAGAGTAGGATCAATCCCAGTGCGCCAGCGACAGCGAAGAATATCGAAGCGACAGCGCAGAACTTGTCAAACCAGCCCCTGTTCGGCACCAACTGCCCGGAGTGCCGCAGCCAGCGTTCTGAAACGAAGGACAAATCCAAGAAGACAACGGTGATGACGCTGCCAGTGATGAACAGAGGTTTCAACCCCTCCGCTCCAATGTCAGATATATATCTATCAGTCTCTGTCAGCATCAATGAAGGAAAGCGCAAGCGAAAGCACGAAATGAGCGACATACGCAATGGTTTGTCCGGCTTCCATACTGGGGTAGATAGGCGACCCAAGTACAACCCAGTTTCCGAGCATCGCAAGCAGCATGGCTAGACAAAACCATCAAGTTAGCATAACTTTGACCTGTCGGCGAACAGGAATCCCTACCAAGCCACATGCAAGCCGATATCACTGGAAAGATCCAAAATGATATAATCCACATGTTGCTATGTTGATCTTTTATTGGTTGATGACGTTGTTCGATCAAGATGTCGACGTCGGTGACAGAATTTGAAAATAGGACGGACAATCTCGAGCTCAGAAGAATGACAGMGGCTCTCTGCTATGGCAATACTACAAGTCTACAACACATATCAGTAAGGCCAGTTCAAGCCATCCTTCACTTTAAATGCGAAGCGGGATCGGACGCACCGGATACGGCGGATGTGGCTTAGATCAAACTCTCAGGATGTGGAAAGCTTGGCTTTGACGAATACTGCAGGCAGCGGTAAATGCAATAATGCGTGGATGACGACAATCCCTCCAATTGACCCTTAAGGCGGTTTGTTGTATCCCTAATTCTGCTGGCTATCGGTGGTTCAATGGTAAAGGAGGAACAAGGGATGGGATAAGCAAGGCAGACACTGCGTGGTTCAAATCAAGGATGTATCGATGAACAAATATGGTGACAGCCTAGCAGCAGCCTGAGGTCAAAGGGAAGTTAGAAGGTAAAGGGAGGAAGGAAAAGCCTACAGAACTGTCTTTGGATACTCTGCACGCTGATCATAAATATTTAGCCTCTCCCATCTTTTTAAATAATATCCCGAAGAAATCAGGAATGATTTCACCACCGAGTCAGTCCATCGACGTCATCGGGCAGAGCCATTGTCGATCTTCCGGAATGCAAACTGAAGGACTAGAAAAGGCTGTGTACCTCTCTATTATGATCCGTTATTTGTCATCCATAAAGCCAACTTGAAGCTTGTATCGGTTCCTCTTCTCCCCGGTTTGCCGTCTATTCTCCCTGGTGTCGACTACAGCTTGGCTGTGTTCCGTAGACTACTCGAGAGTGCACAGAGTAGGCAGCAAGTATCACCTTCGGGTCCGCAGTCTGAGCCACAAACCACTCTATCCTTATGACTCTGAATTTCTCTTTATCATTCGCAAATCCTTGTCAATCGTCCTGACAGCCAGCTATCCTGCAGTTGCACGCTCTTCCATACCTTACCCGCACAGCTGCCATGTGCACAAACTGACTCGGGACCTCATCCCGGTTACACAATACGGTTACTGCCACCAGGGGGCTATTGTTCCACAGCTGCGCTCCATCACATAGTCTATTGTCTTAGAATTAATCAGAATTGAAAATTAATGTAACCTTTAACCAAGTCACCGCTCTAGTTCAGAACTCCATACGTTTTTGTTTGCCAAATACCCACTGGGCCGCCCCAACCGAAACACACAAGAGACACAGAAAGGCACAATCCATCGAGGGCGTCTCCACCAGATAAGGAAAAAGGAAATGAAGGGGCACAGAGCGGGGGTATGTTTGTATGCTTTCAAGAACGACGAGATCGTGGGGGAACTACCCTCGCGCCGACCCCGCTGGCTGCAGCAGGCCGACTCTGAAGACCAGTTGGAACTCTTCGTCGCACCACGTCGACAATGTGTATCTTGTCACCGTCATTGTCAGATCCGCTGTCGTCTTCGTCACTTTCGCTACTCGAATCGCCCTTGGCCAAATTTGAGGGCGCATGCTGACGACTCAGCGGTTGTCGATCGCCAAGAACAGACCCAGGACTTGCCTGGTATGCCATATGGCCGGGATAGCTTTGAGATCCCGCACGGACGGTTGCGGAAGCATATGGTGCCTGGTACGGAGGCACCCGCTGTGGCTCGTGAGGAAGGATGCGTGCATATGGAGGGTTCTGGAAGGTCGCCGGTGGAAGAGGGCTGGGGAAGGTGAGGGGAATATCTGACCGAAATTCGCGTGGAACGGATGAGTAAGGCGGCGGCCCCGACATTCGAGGTTGCAGGTTAGGCACGGTGGACGTTCGTGGTAGTACAGGAGAATGGTCCCTGGCCGATGCGCCCGAAGTCCGCGCCCTCGACTCATACATCTCCTTCTTGTCGGTCACAAAAGTACGGGGTACGCTACCGTTTGGGGCGGTAGATCCATGCCGCATTGTCCCGAGATTTCCCAGTCCCCCGTTTGAGGAGCTCTCTACCGGCCTCAGGGGCCTGCTGTCGGTAGACGCTGCCTTGGGAACCCTGTTTCTCTGTCCGACGTCTTCCATACCGCCAGTTTGCTTCCGTTTTCGTTCGAGGGCGTCCAACTCCCGTTGCGAAAGTCGTACATTATTCTGGCCCAGTATCTGCGCGCGCCGTATCCGTTCCAGGGCCTTGTCTACCAGCCACTCTTCATCGTCTTTCATCGCTAATTGCACTGCATATGCCACCGTTCTGTCCGAATCGTCGTACAGATCAAAGTCTATGCCGTCGACCGAGTGCACATCGTCAGCAGATACGTCGTGATCCTCATTGCGCCTTGGCCACCCAATCCTCCGTTGCTCAGCAGCATACAAAGCGCGACCACGTCGCAGAAGATACTCCTCAGCCCCGCTGTCAATCTCCTGAATCCGCACATTATTAGTATCCATCCACTGAGCCGCCTGTCTCCCGCTGGATCTCCCCACTCGTGCCCCCGGTGGTCTTCCCCATCGGGGCATACCGTAAGGAGCTCGCGGCCGACCACCTAGACCGCCTCCTCGGAAAAAGCATTCTCGATTGGTTTATCCATAAATGCGGCATGACCGAAGACAGTCACGCCAGTGGCTCCGATGAGCCAGAGCGCAGTGGCTATGGGGGAAGCATAAAGTCCCAGAGGAACGGCAACGATCAGCAGACCGGTGTATAGCTGAGAGGTGTTGAATCGGGCAAAGCCCAAATCAAGATCACGGCCCTGGAGCTTGCCAATTCCGTACAGACCGCCAGCAACTAACAGGATGACAAGAAGCAATGACAGATTGGTCAGCAAGCTGTAAATGCTGAGCATGACAAAGACGGCGGCATAGTTGCTCGAGAAATAGGCTAGGTTGTAGTTCACACGGCTTTGAACTTCGGCGAAGTTTGCAGGCTTCGAAATGCGCTTGACGTCCAGGAACTCCGAGATGGGTCGGAGATTGGAGAAACGCGAGGTAAGAGATTGCGAGCGGACACTATTGAAGCGATCACCGAATCGCGAGGCAATCGCGTCAATAGGGAACTGAATCGGACTCATTGTGAGATGGTTGACAGGATGATTTCCGGATGGAAATAAATTCTGAAGTAGTAATCGACGGTCAAGGAGAAATCGGAGAGGATTGGGAGGAAAGAAGTAGACGTGAATCGAGTCAATGAGCAGAGGAGCAAGCAAAAGGGGTGAATAGCTAAAGCAAAAGTTGACAGGTTTATCTGGCCCGAAGATATGAGGAAGCCTAGAGAGGTAAAGAGTGAAAAATCACTGGAACCTTCAGCCTAGCCACGTTTGGTTCGTATTTTTGGTTCCGGCGCTGCAACAGGCACAAGGGGCTTAGCTTTAGTACCTAGTAGCGTTTTTAAGCCACCGCCGTCCAAGACTCCTTCACGGAGTAGACTGGATCCCTGAAGATTGAAGATACCTAGGGGAGCAAGGCCTCTTGATTCTCCTCTAGTAGTAGTGCCTAGACTTTTGATGGTAATGGCAGTCGTAACGGTATGAGGTTACGTTTGACTCTGCCTCACACTTCCCAAGACCCTAATAATAGAAGTGGTCGGTGCCTGGAAGCGGAAGAGTCCACAGATTCTGGGTCGAGACACGAAAGCCGAACCGCGAACGAGAAATTGTAGAATCAATGATGAAAGGAAAACGGCAGAGGACAACATAACAAGATCCGAACTCTCGTTCGGATTAAGCCTCCTCCATGATCAAACCCCTTTCCTCTCTAAACATAGCCTTGGCGGGTTGCCAGCCGAAACAGATGCCTCAGGATGCCTGGTACATCTGTAGACCGGAGTATCTTAGGCAAAGACGAAAAAGAAGGGAGTCTTCGAGACTAGGTACTATGACAGGGAAATGCTTGCATTTAAACCCACACTCTACGATCTCCAACTATTAACTTATTCGCCTTGATGATGAATCATACCCATCGGATTCATCACATCTAGAATCAAGATGGCTGTTGAAACCCCTCATCTCCGTATGGCATTCATTTCTCCCCATGCCTAAGGCTTCAATATCATCTCCATTATTGGTCCACGTTTTTCCCCTCTGCAGAGTGGATCACGCGTAGCCCACAGCGATTTCGTGTCAGTGAAGTACTTTGATGGCTTGGTAAGATCTACGGAGTAGGTACTTTCGAAGGCAGCTGGCTTCATACGGAGTATCCACGGAGTAGATAACTTCCTATCCCCATTCAGGAAAACGTATCTTACCCTGTACAACTGTATTACCGCCGACCGCCTTTCGATGTATTGGATTGTGGACAGATCATAGTTTACCAAAAGCGGTAACTCTAAATTATGTGCGGTGCTCACTCCACCATTTCTCAACTTTTTGTCCGTTTCGTTTCCTGAGAAGAGTCAAGACTAGACTTCTATTTGATTCCTTGTTCGGGCCATTGCGGCATTGACCGCTTCCCCTCTGTGCCCATAATGAAGCCTCTTGCTCTTCGCTTGTTTGTGTTCGCTGTTCTACTTGTTTTTGCTGCTGCTTGGACTAAAGAAGGTTTGTCTTTTTTCACCCCCTTTGTATCACCCTCGATTCCCTTGCGAACACAGAAAATTGTTGCATCAATGCTAATACCGTTAAGATTATGAAATCTTCCGACTCAACGACGAGGTCACGGCCACCGAAGGTGCTAATGTGACCTTTTATGGTACGTCCTTCTTTACTTGTCTCTCACGTGCGCATTCACATCTCATTCCCTCCTTTTCTTGATAGACTTCCTCGGTGTGCGCCCCAATGCCAACCAGGAGGAATTGAACAAGGCCTACCGCAAGAAATCCAGACTTCTCCATCCCGACAAGGTCAAGCGATCCTTCATCGCCAACCGTTCCAAGGACAAGGGCAGAGCCAAAACCACCAAGCAGGGCGTCCATGTCAACAAGGGTCCCTCCCAGCGCGAAATTGCTGCTGCTGTCAAGGAAGCCCATGAACGGGCCGCTCGCTTGAACACCGTCGCCAACATCCTCCGCGGGCCCAGTCGTGAGCGTTACGATCACTTTTTGAAGAATGGGTTTCCCAAGTGGAAGGGCACCGGCTACTATTACTCTCGATTCCGCCCGGGTCTAGGAAGTGTGCTTGTTGGGCTCTTTCTCGTTTTCGGTGGTGGTGCTCATTATGCAGCCCTCGTTCTCAGCTGGAAGCGGCAGCGGGAATTCGTCGACCGGTACATTCGTCAAGCGAGAAGGGCCGCCTGGGGTGATGAACTTGGCGTCCGTGGTATTCCTGGCGTCGACGCCGCCAGCGTTGCCGCCCCTGCTCCACCTCCTGAGCAAGGAGAAGCGACTGCAATTCCTATGAACCGGCGCCAGAAGCGCATGATGGAGCGCGAAAACCGCAAGGAAACCAAGAAAGGTTCAAAGGCATCACCTCGCGGCTCCGGCACTGCAACACCCACCACTGAGTCTGTCCAGCCAACTGGCGAGAGGAAACGGGTTGTTGCTGAAAATGGAAAGGTGCTGATCGTCGATTCCATTGGGAATGTCTTCCTCGAAGAGGAGACCGAAGACGGAGAACGCCAGGAATACCTGCTCGATGTTGATGAAATCCAGCGACCGACTATCCGTGACACAATGGTGTTCCGCGTCCCGATCTGGTTGTACCAGCAGACCGTGGGCAAACTGACTGCAACTCCGACCACGGGAGAGCACGAACTCGACGCTGAGGAAGAATTTTCAGAGGCCACGGAGCAAGAGGCCCAGGATGGCAACAGTTCTGCTCTCAGGTCCAATAGCGGTGCGTCTCGACGGAGAGGCAAACGGTCACAAAGGTCCTGAGCCAGCCTGTCCCCAGGATGTGTGCGCAATTGTCAAGGTCAAGCCTTGGCGTATACTACTCTTCCCGAGGCATTCTCGGCGAGAAAGCATTGTATACATGTATATCAATTTAGACATAAAAAGCTACCACTCCAAATCTTATGCCACGCAATACCTTCATCTTCGCAAGAAGTTGACTCTAATGTTGCTGCAACTACACTCATTGTCTCCTAGAAAGCCCTTGGACAGCAACCATGTCTATTAAATGCAGGCTGATCTTCACTAATCTGTTTGCGAACAGGCCGTGCCGTCGCATCGTCTCAACCTGAAAAGAGTGGCTAGAGAGATGCAACAGCAAAGACAGGCAAGCTAGGCCATAGAGACCCTTGGGCGGAAAGTCATTGTTTACCAGGACGCATGCGTAAGCTTTAAATGTATGGCATTGCAGACAGCCTCCCAATAATAGCTGATATAAATCATCAACGGTTGTCGCAAAGAAACAAGAAATCCATTATGTGGATCGAGTACATGTAGTCATCGTCATTGTCATAGTCATGATTGTTCGTAGCGTTCTTCATATCACCATTCTGCATGGATAGCGTGTCAAAGCTTACCGCCAATTGCAGCTGAGCTTCCTTGAGTCTGCTGGGCAACCCTCAGTATTACAGGAACATTTTAGCGACGTTCATGAGTTTATTGAGGTTGTCATGCATGCCACTCTCGCCGACCTTTCCAGCACCGGAGGAGTGACCACTCAAGCTATGCGGTAGGCGGATACCGATCATGGCCAGCAGTTTCTGCAGTACGCCACTCGTGAGCAGAGGGATGATGACCATGAACAAGACCTTTGCAGGGTGACGGCGCGCATAGTTGTAGATGTCGCGAAAGAGGCGCTTGATATAGTGGATTACGCGCTGGATAAACCCAGCTCGAGGCCGTGCGCGTCTCGACGATGATGAGGACAGCACCGATGGGCTTGAACGACCAGCGCGACTGTAGCCACCTAGGCTGAAAATCGATGGAGCCGAATGGCGAGAGTGCGAAGTGGAATAGACAGATCGACGAGACGGAGAGCGTCGGCGAACATGGCCAGATGAAGTAGTCGATCTTCCATCAAACCAGCCCATTTTTTTCAATCAATGTTGGGACAGCCTGAAATTTCTCAGAGAAAAGAATCAACCTTAAAGCCAGAGAGGCCTGGAGTAAGGCACAGGTAGCTGCTGAATTATGGACCCAAATTGAGCTGCAATATCTGCCCCTCAGTCGTCTTCTGTGCGCAATTCAGCTGGATCGAAAGTGGATACGCAGTCAATTGATGCAAATGCACGAAATTCCAGTTCTAGGCCCAGTGCAGAAGATGTCTCCACTACTTGAATTGGAAGATGTCCTGCCAAGATCTCTATATAAGATCAGAAGTCCTGGCAAAGTCACCGTAAACAATGATCAGCGGCCTAGTATTTCATGCAATTGAGAGATCGCAGCAAGCAAAGGCTGGAGACAAGACGGGGGAGTTGCCAAAGTGATTCCATTTTTGAGACAAAAAAACCGGAAGCCAAAAGGAGCTGCTTGCACCAGCTAAACTGACATGCGTTAGTAGAGAGCTGACGGGTGGCTGGTAATGAGCAGAATGATCCTCATTGGTGGTTGTTCTTCAGGGGGTGTTGCACAGCGGATGAGCATTGCGTCCTTATTTTCAAGGCATCAACTACCGACGTCATCGGCTTGAAAGAAGCCAGCACATGGTAAGTCTTGAATTTCTCCAGTTCGCTACGTTGTTATGCATCTAGAAATTCTTCAAATTTGACCTCGCAGCTAGTTCATTTGAAACAGGAATAGAGCTATTCCGCCGCCGCTTAGTTTTGCACGACTCGAGGATCTTCTCTGAGAACGCTTTAACAGTCAATATGCCTAGTAAGACATCAACCCTAGTCTTACCTGGAGAGGATGATCAAAGACTGACAATGAAGAATCAGGGCGACCTGATTATTGTAATACTGCTCTTTTCTTAGTGGTTAAACTGATTGGAGCTGCGCTCATAAGGATACAGACAAAATTCTGGGTGTCTCCCCCGACGCCACTCAACAACAGATTCGGACTGCATACAAAAGGTGGGCAAAGGCCTCGGATCCTATCGAGGCGTTCAATAACAGTCAATAATCTGCAGAGAATCTTTGAAATCCCATCCCGATCGAGTGCCTGCCGATTCACCAGAGCGACCCGCCCGTACTCGGAGATTCCAAGAGATCAATGATGCTTATTATACTCTTTCTGACCAGACACGTCGGCGAGAATATGACGCCCTAAGAGCAGCAGAGGCATACGAAGAGCCAGCGGAGGAAGTGCCTCGGGGTGGCGCCGGCGGCTTCCCATGGTCTGCCTTTGGATTTGGCACCACCACCACAGACAGCGAGCAACGAGCCTCCGAGCAATTTGGGTCTGTGTTCGAGGAGATGTTACGGGAAGAAGGACTTGCCGAGGATACCGATGCCGATGGCCAACGTCGTACCAGGCCTACATCACGCTTTTGGTCTGTTGTGGGTGGTATCAGCGGTGGTGCTTTAGGATTCATTGTGGCAAATACTCCCGGTGCTTTGGCTGGTGCCGTAGCAGGGAACCGCCTTGGTGCTGTCCGAGACGCAAAAGGCAAGAGTGTCTACGAGGTTTTCCTCGAGCTTCCGCAGTCTGAAAGAGCCCGACTACTGAGCGAATTGGCAGCCAAGGTCTTCCAGACTACTCTGGGTCGCTAGGCGATTTGCGCCACACTAGCTAGTTTCATGTGGCGTGTTCAGTTCGTAGTCTAGGGGAGTGCATATGGCTTCATTTCTGGAATATTTGGAGGATTTGGGAATAGATTTAACGCACTGTGCTTAACGCTAATACGTAGTATCTGCCATTAGTCCCTTGACACGATTCATATAGTTGCATAATCTAATAGCAAACACTCCTAGTCCGTCGCACTATCTATTTTCACGCTCAGTCACGGGGACGGCCACAGAATAGTGAAGCATTGGGCGGTGATGCCCACCGTGTACTTTCATTTTTCTCCACGTTTGGGGTTTCGAGATTGGTACATATTCATTGATATGCGATCTACTTCCAAGTTGTTTATCTTCTGTAATTGGCCCACCAATAATACAAGCCATATGGAATGTTCCTCATAGGTGGTGGATGAAGTACCTACTCTCCCTTTCTGTGCTGCTAATCTGGTTATCGATAAGAAGATCCAGGCCCACAGATGTACCCTACAGGCTACAGCGAAGGATTGCTGGGCCCCCTGACTGAGGCTTTGACCGCTTCGAGCTTGTTTGCCTTGGTGCCTGAACCAACAAGCACTTAAGGTACTCCTGTCTAGGCCCCGCTAGCCCCTCTTCTCACCGCATGCGGATACGCCACGTTCCTGAGGTTTACCAGAGGCATTGATATTTAATAGTTCTTTGGTCCCGCAGTCTTGTATCCTCTGCGAATTTTGTCTGTCTTTGATCCCTAGCTCTCTTTTGCACAGACATTGCACCGAAAATTTCATTGATTAGATTCAACAATATCAATTTKAGAAACATACATCATCATGGCTACCGAAGCTGCGAGTATTTACCCGGCTCTCCAGGACCGCCCTATTAAAAACACAATTTGTCTGTTCGATGTTGATGAGACGCTGACACCTGCGAGACGGGTACGTTAATTTACCAATGAAGATTCTCAATCCCGAGTCCATGAGCTGATGGTCACCAATTCTCTGCCTACCAGACCGTTACCCCCGAGATGCTCATGCTTCTTTCGCAATTGCGCCACAAGTGTGCCATTGGATACGTCAGTTAACCCATTCACTGGATCTCGACGTCCAATCTCACCCTCTGCAGGTCGGCGGTTCCAATCTTGCCAAGCAACAAGAACAACTTGGAACGGCCGCTACGGACGTGACCTCCCTTTTCGATTTCTGCTTCCCGGAGAATGGTTTGATGGCTTTTCGTCTGGGCAAGCCTCTTGCCAGCACCAGCTTCATCGACTGGATCGGCGAGGAGAAATATCAGAAGCTGGTGAACTTTATCCTCAGATACTTTGCGGACTTGCAGTTGCCCAAGAAGCGTGGTACCTTCATTGAGTTCCGTAATGGAATGATCAATGTTAGTCCTATTGGCAGAAACGCAAGTGTTGAAGAGAGAAACGAGTTCGAAGCGTATGTATACAAATCTGCGCTCGGCCAGCCATTGAGAACACAGATGGCATCTGCGAATATCAGTCGGCTAACAATTACAGCAGATATGACAAAGAACACCACATCAGATCAGATATGGTCAATGCGCTGAAGAAGGAGTTTCCTGATTATGGCCTCACGTAAGTGAATCATAATGGCAATAGTAGAAATACTGCGCTCCAGAATAATGATTCTAACAATGAATCTGCAGCTACTCTATCGGCGGCCAGATTTCTTTTGACGTCTTCCCCACTGGCTGGGATAAGACCTATTGCCTGCGGCACGTTGAAGCTGAGAAAGAAATTACTGGGGTTGAGTACACAACAATTCACTTCTTCGGAGATAAATGCTTTCCTGGAGGTAATGACTACGAGATCTACTCAGACCCGCGCACAATAGGCCATTCCGTACATGGTCCTGATGATACCATGCAGCAGCTTAAGGAATTGTTCCAGCTATGAAGCGTGTTATTTCTTTTTCATCTTTCGTGCCGACTTTGGGGCACATTCGAATGAGACATACAGCGATATCCTTCCCACTGTTTGTGACATAGCTGAAGAGTTATAATAATGATGCATAGACATAACTCTTGCAATTGTAATTCAATCGCGCCTTCTATGCAATCATACTTCTCCAATGAGAAGCTGGAAATCACATGTAATCCCAAAATGCACTAGTGCTGCGATAAATATACTCTGTGTTAGTCATCGGCAATGCCCGCACCCCCGGTTGACTGCGAGTACTCCGTAAGAGGCGACTATCCGACGAAGCATAAAAGTTTACAAGTTTATGCTTCTGCTGCTCCCTCCTTCCCCGATGAGTCGTCATTGTGCTGATATACTCTGAGGATGGCGCCGCAGAAATCTGTCACAGAAGTCCCGCGCTCACTTCTCCCTCGTCTGACCTGGAACGGCTCCTCTACCCGGATTACGGTCACTCCACCCCAAGGCAACGCTCTCTCGACTTTGCGACCCCAACCCCAGCAGCGCATACAAAATTTGAATCCTGTGTGTCAACAACTACGTTCTCTGTCCCTTTATACACATCAAGCCCGCTTTTCCCCCGCAGTGTCTTGGGACCTTAGCCCGACAACGCTGATTGCAAGATGCCCGTCTACGTCACCGAGCGCCCGGCAAAACCGTCCAGCTCTCGAGGACCTCGACAGTCCTATCAGGTATAATGGAGTATATGTAGCTACTTTCAAGCCAGCGCGGCGCGCCTTTCACGCCTCGGCTTCTCGGCAGCGGGAGCATCACTTCGATACATTGAGATTCGTCCAACGGCTTAAGGATGAAGGATTCAGCGAAGAGCAAGCCGTCGCAATGATGAGGGTCCTGAACGATGTCATCCAAGAATCAATACAGCAGTTGACGCGGACAATGGTTCTTCGGGAAGGTTGGTCAGCTCCTTGTTTGTCCCGACTTGGCCATGCCTTACGATCAGGTCCTTTTGGAACTTTGGCTGCGATCGTATCCTCTTTGTTGCTCCTCTTTATTCTCAGGCGCTGACGACGCATTGTAGATACTGAACGCTCAGCATACACACAGAAAGTCGACTTTGCTAAACTCCGCTCCGAGCTATTAAACGCAGATTCGACCGAAGCGCAGTTGACTCGGTCATCCCACGAAAAGATTGCTGCGGATCTTGCGAAACTTAACTCACGTCTACGAGACGAGATTGGACGAACCCAAGCCTCTGTTCGGCTTGATTTGAACCTTGAAAAAGGGCGTATCCGAGAAGAAGCGAACGGCCAAGAGATGCGCATCAAAGAGACTGAAACACGAATCGAGCAGGAAGTTGCAGGGCTGCGAGAGCGCGTTGAGGCTGTGAAGTTCTCGACCTTACAATGGCTTATGTATGGCTCCTTTACTATATTCTCTCAAGGCTGGCTAACATATTATACTTTCAGGGGTGTTTGCACCGGTACAGCCGCTCTCATTCTCGGTGCCTGGCGTCTTTTCATGTGATTCATCGGCGCTTGAGTCCGACTCAATTCGGTATCGACTTCTTCACTACTCCAATCTTACCGTCGGGTTGTAGTTCTTGTATATAATACTCCGCTCCTTTTGCTCAAATAGAACAAACTGAGAGGAAGGAAGGTCCGTTTGGATTTGTGGAGTGTGATGACCGCCCACCTGGACCTCAAAAGATACTTTGTATAATTTTAAAGCGTTGTTTCGATATGTTCTCCAACGAAAGTGAGTCGTGGAATTGACATTGACAAAGGAGAGCGGTTCACAAATTGTAAGGACATTTCGATTGCATAAACAGTCACATTACGACGATATACGCCATCAGACGCAGGTTCTTTCTAAACCGGAATAGGTCATTCTGCTGTCCAGGGGATGTGTTGTGTCGGTCTTTCTCAAAGGGGCAGGTCGATTGTCTAGTGTGTGACATGACTTCTGTGCCGCATGGCTTATCAACTCTTCCAATTAACGTCAACTACCACATAGCACATCAGAGAGCCGTCGCACTCCTTGCAGGCTAGCGTTTATTTTCATGACTTCTGACTTGATATCATGGTATGATAATCTTATCCCCCTGCAACGCTCATATTGGATCAACAAGAACGCTACTGAGCGGGGAAGACGAGGCGCAAGCATATCTACATGTGGCCGACGGGGCCCCTGTATAGCTCCGTCGCTGATAGACCCAGCCATGGCACGATCCGAAATGGAGCAGGGATATGGATCTAGTCGCGGCTTCCTTTTAGGATGCTCCATGTCCCACGCACAGGTGATCAGGATGCTTGTTTCGGTGCTATTTCTCAGCTGTTGCTTTACAGTGAGTTTTGCGACCATTCGGCGATACCGAAGAATATCCAAGGTCGACGCGAAAGAACTTTCGCTGGATGATATTACAATATACAAAGAGTCAAGATTGGATACCTGTTCAGAATTAGAACCTTCTGTGTCATTGGATTGGAATAGAAATCAAGAAGATTTCGTCCGGAAGTGCCCCTGCCAAATAAAGATCGTCTGCATGGCGCTGTCGCTCATGCTTTGTGCCGCCCTCATATGGCTTGGATATCTGCCTTTGGAGTGTTTATCTGGTATTGCAACTGGTCAGGTTTCAGCTTCTATCTCCAAGACAACACAAGTGTTGGAGGTCTTTCAAGTGTACCAACCTGTTTCGACCACTGGAGGCGCAGATTCTGCATGCAATGATGAGATACTTCTTATGGATCATGTCTTTGCGTATAGCTATGGCAAACCTTTCGTAGGTCAGTGGATATCCTCGCGGATTGTTGGCTCTGATGTTGATTCTAGTAACAAGGATATTACAATCCACCCAAATGTGACTTTGACACTGTTCGAATTAACCTCACTGTGACTTCGAAAGGTCGGCAATATGATCGATTAGCGATCATGTACCTTGGGGATGCAGAGGTATTCCGTACATCGACAGCTGAACCAACTACAAATGGGATTGTCTGGACATACATTAAGGAGATGTCTCAGTACAATGCACTGTGGAAAGAACGACAAAAGCTAATCTTTGATTTGGGTAATCTGATATCCGACGTCTACACAGGCAGTTTCAATGCCACACTTACTGCCGTCTTCTCTCAACGGGGCACTACTATTAGAACAGCAGACATGATTCTACCGATATCAGCGCGGAAATCAGCGTCTAATGCATCGAGTGCATTCATTGTGCCTTCAGACAATGCAGAGATAGCCTACCAGTTCCCCTCCAACGCCGCCCGTGCCATTGTGTCAGTTTCTGCATGTGGACAGTCCACAGAGGAGTTCTGGTGGTCTAACGTGTTCTCGCCCGACACAGAATCATTCGTCAACACGGTTGGCGAACTCTACGGGTATTCACCCTTTCGTGAAATCCAGCTCTATATCGACGGTGTGCTTGCTGGGGTCATCTGGCCTTTCCCAATTATCTTCACAGGGGGCGTCGCGCCCGGCTTCTGGCGTCCAATAGTTGGAATTGATGCTTTTGACCTGCGACAGCCCGAGATAGACATCTCGCCATTTCTTCCTCTTCTGACTGATGGGCGCGAACATTCTTTTGAAATAAAGATCGTGGGCTTGGAAATCCAAGCGAATGGGACTGCCAGACTTTCTGATTCTGTCGGCTCTTACTGGGTGGTCACGGGAAACATCTTTTTGTACCTGGAGGAGGATGCACCGTATTCAAAAACTGATCAATCTCAGAAGGAGCCTAAAATAATCTCTCCGACACCAAAGTTTACGATTACGCGATTTGTCACCAAAGATGAGAAAGGCGTTAACGATACACTCTCGTACTCTGTTGTTGCTGAAAGGACTCTCAGTATTACCTCGACCCAATTCACCTGGCATCAGTCCTTGAAGTACTCCAATTCAGGTCTGCTGAACCAGAACGGATTGAGCCAAGCGAATCACCAACTCACGTCCGGGAATATATTAGCTGCAAAAATTGGAGTCAATGGGACTACTGAGGATCTGACCTTCGAATATCCTCTATTTGTCAACACAACATATGGCATCACTGACACTGAGCTCACCATAAAAGCCCATATGAATAGAGGTCTTGATATAGCGGCGACAGGAGTTACTGGTATCTCTACCTATACCCTGACTTCGGGGCCATTGCGGTTGCACACTAGACAATGGGGCAGCGCATTCTACCATTCAGTCACAGGTGGCGGGTCGACATCCGCTGGAGATACAACTGATGTTTTCGAGAGCATTGCTGAACAATCGTATCACAGAACCGTCCGCGCTATCAATGGAAGTGTTGTCTCTGATACAGATGTCCGGCCACAGACTGCTTCATTTCAAGCAATTCAGGGTATTCTGTCATCATCAGGCAGAGACAGCGTGAGAAGCATCATCGGAAGAGGGCCTGGAGGCGAGAACTAACACTCAATGTAAAGCTCCTCGGAGGCAGGTAGACCTAGTTGAAATATCTCACTCCCAAGCACTGATGAGCTGAATGAAACATAATTTTCCTACATATCTTTGGTGCTTAATTGAGTTTAAAGCCATACCTTACTTTACCAATAGAAAAGTGAGTTTTGCCACTCTCCCCAGAACCAGGGGGACCTCGATAACTATATCACGTGATTTTTATGATAAGATTGCCTTATCGCCATTCATCTTCCTACTTTGTACTTGATGCATGGTGGCGCTTTGTACAGACGAAACAGTTGCAGGATGGCTGTGGTGATGGAAGAAGTTTGCTATTCAGGTACGCCGACTTCCCTTTCTCTAATGCGATTTGCTGATTGATTGCTAATCCTTTACAACCTGCAGGTAGAGTGCCTGATAGCTTAGCCACTGCTTTTGCGCAAAGCGGGCGACTTGCGCAAAGTGGGCAACTCGAGAGCGATGGTCCTCCCAGCAAGCGTCGCAAACTGACATCAGCACCCCAGAGTCTTCGAGACGTGAGGGGCGCATCAGAAAATGGTGTTCCCAATGGATATATTGCGTTGGCGCGCTTTGATCTAAGCCTGGTATGTAAATGGCCACAATCATGGACCAAATACAGTTGAGAGCCGCGACTGACTTAAACAATCTATCAGAAATTCGCTCACACAAATCCTCTTTTGGAGGGACATATTGATGATACTTTGACGCCATTACCCCGCCTTCCTGTTGTCCTCCAGAGTGCCGGAAACCGCCGACATTTGGCCAGTTGGACTCACGAGTCGACCTCGTATGACTGTTTCGAGCTAGAGATAGCTACATTGCCGGAGCGAGAGACCGTGTACGAAGAGTCTTCGACTAGTACTCAATTACTAGAGTTTGGGAAACACCTCGAGTCCGCTCATCGCCTTGTTTGCGCCGATCAATTTTATAAGAAGGCTCCGATCGCATGTTATCAATGTACTCTCCATTGTTCAACAGATAGAAAGTCATTTCGGCTCGAGACAATTATTTTATGGAGAGATTCTCTGGATATTATCGATGAAAAGCTGCTAAATGCCGGGGCACTCGAAACTTTCGCGAAATATGTGCTACAGCGTGATGCCGAGGTGTACAACAAGGCGCGCAATATGGGTTTCGCGCCAGCAGCCATTTGGTCGCCTCGAGATTTCTACGATAATGTCCATGTTCCTCAAGACACACCCGAGTCATCTGCAGAAATCAAGTCCGACTTGATACATTGTCGACTTTATCCATTCCAAAGGAGAGCAGTACGATGGCTACTCGAAAGGGAAGGTGTAAAACTTCAGGAGAACGGACACGTGCTTCCTCTGGACGACAAAACGGCGAGTGAACTGCCAACTTCGTTCGAGAAGCGTACGGACGCTGAGGGGGAAACGTACTATGTTAGCCCTTTGTTCATGACTGTCACATCCGATCTTTCCAATTGGTACGCGCCGGCGGACTATCTCAAGGGCGGCATCCTTGCTGAAGAGATGGGACTGGGCAAGACTGTGGAAATGATTAGTCTGATGTGTCTCCATCGTCGTTCCTTGCAACCTGATATGGACTTGTACATCGGTGGAATGAGACAATCCGGTGCAACATTGATCATCACACCTCCTGCTATTCTCCAGCAATGGATGGAGGAAATTCAGTTGCATGCACCGGCTCTCCACGTTCTTCACTATACAGGTATAAATCGCCATCAGAAGCTTTCAGACCGCGAACTTGTTGAACTACTTGCCGACCAAGATGTCGTTCTCACCACGTATGATGTCCTTGCACGGGAGATCCATTATGCCGGTGATGCTCCAAAACGTAATTTGCGACACGAGAAAAGATTTCAGCCACGAAAATCACCTCTTGTTAAAATATCATGGTGGCGAGTCTGTCTTGACGAAGCTCAAATGATCGAGAGCGGCGTGAGCAATGCAGCAAAGGTCGCACGTCTGATACCTCGCCAGAACGCGTGGGCTGTGACCGGTACACCTCTTCGGAAAGATATTTCTGACCTTCTCGGCCTTTTGCTTTTTCTTCATTATGAACCGTTCTGTGGGTTTGTATGGAATAGGCTCTGTCGATCGTTTCAGTCTGTGCTCTCCGGCATTGTTAGTCGAGTCGCTCTTCGGCACAGCAAAGATCATGTTCGCAGTGAGCTTGATTTGCCTTCCCAAAAGAGATTTGTGATCACTATTCCTTTCACAGCGGTCGAAGAACAGCATTATGGACAGTTATTCGAGCAAATGGCCGAAGATTGTGGCCTAGATCTGTCCGGTGCGCCACTTAAAGACGATTGGAATCCCGAGGACCAATCCGTTGTCGAGAAGATGCGCAGTTGGCTAATGAGGCTCCGTCAAGCATGTCTCTATCCGGCTGGAAGTAGTCGGCGTGTCTTAGGTTTCGGTGGCGGTCCGCTACGTTCTGTTGCCGAAGTTCTTGAGATAATGATCGACCAGAATGATGCTCTTGTCCATGCAGAAGAGCGCACTCTCGTGCTGTCTCAGCTCCGACGGGGGCAGCTACTGGAAAATGCGTTGCGTCGTCAACAAGCGCTTGATCTTTGGACAAAATCATATGAACGGTCCAGTGCACTGGTCAAGGAATGTCGCTCCCGGCTCCAGTTAGAGCGTGCTAAGAGTCGAGCCACGGCCAACGACGTGGGCCAAGGCGGAGCGACAGATGATCCAGTGAGCGATAACGAAGTTGATGAGGCGGACAAGAATACTCGCGTTAGTGCGTACCGTCAAAGGCTGCGTGCTGCCCTTGAGATTCAGCACATTTCGATATTCTTTATCGGAAATGCGTTTTATCAGATCAGGACAGATCCGAAGCTTACTGAACCGGACTCAGAGGAATTCAAGCGCCTCGAGAAACGCGAAACTGAGGCTTATGAAGAGGCCAAGTTGATTCGGATGGAGATACTATCTGACGTTTCTCGTAAAGTTGCTCGCTATATGAGAGTGATCAGAGAGAAATCGGAGAGGAAGCAGTTTGTGGTTATCCCGAAAATGAAGCCACAGCTTTACAGCAAAGGACTGGAGTCCCGCCGCATATTCGACAGATATGAGGAGTTCTGTGAAGTGATGAATAAACACGCTGCACAGTACAATGAATGGCGCGATATCATGGTCAAGTTACTCTCACAGTCGCTAATTGACCAGGAGGATGAATCAGAGCTCGAAGGAAATGAGTACGAAAGGTCAACAAAACATCAAGACGAGATGTATGTTTATATGGAAGCTCTGCGCGCCATGTTTGCAGACCGTCACGATGCTCTCACTGGTCAACAGAATGTCCTCATCGCTCACGAGGTGAAAGGTGGCATTATTCAGGCTCAGCAAGGGGAGGGGCCGTCCCCAGGGCTATTTCTTTCGGTGATGAACACCCGCAGTGCGTTGAAACCGGCGCCTGCGCTTGGTTCTCTTCGTGGCATCATCAGCGAGCTTCGCAGTCTTGCGACCTCCCTTGAATGGCAAGGAAGCGGGGGAAGCTCTCGCGCTCTTGCCGAGTTAGAACTTGTCAACTCAGTCCTCCAACATGCTGCCAAGATGGCTGCTGAGCAGAACAAAGTGTCATCGAATCTAGAGAGGGAAGTGGAGATGTTCCGGGACACTATGAATAACCGCCTCGAGTACTACCGTCAGCTGCAACAAATATCCGATACTGTTGCTCCTTATGACGAGGAGAGTGTCGGTAAACCGTTGGATGAAGATTTATATACAGCAAAGCTTAAGCAAGAGAATGATATAGATGCAAAGATATCCACCCTAAGGTCGAAACATCGTTACCTTCTACATCTGAGAGACGACTCAGGGGTCGATAATGCATCGAGGATTTGTGTTATATGTCAGTCCAGCTTTGAAATTGGTAAGTACATGTGCTTTATTTTTCTAAGCTGAGACTTCATTTCGCTTACATCTATAGGGGTGTTGACCGTTTGTGGTCATAAATACTGCAAAGATTGTCTGCGCATATGGTGGAACCAACATCGCACTTGTCCTACCTGCAAAAGGAGACTCAAGGTCAATGATTTTCACCAGATCACTTACAAACCCGAAGAGTTCGTGGTGCAGGAGGAGAAGACGCCCAAACTTGAATCAGGTCGTTCATCGAACAGCTTTATTTACTCTGACATCAGCTCGGGGACGCTCAAAGAGATTAAGAACATCGATCTTGAGGCCTCGTTTGGCACCAAGATCGACACTCTGGCCCGTCATATTCTTTGGCTACGCGAGCATGACCCTGGTGCGAAATCGATTATATTCTCTCAATATAAGACTTTCCTTGAGGTGTTGGGGACCGCCTTTGCCCGGTTTAAGATTGGGTACAGTAGCATCGACAATGCAGATGGTATAGAAAGGTTCAAGAGCGACCCAGCGGTATGTTTCCCCAGAGCCCGCGTGTTGCTGTATCTTACTGATAATTGTCCTTCAGGTCGAGTGCTTCTTTCTACATGCAAAAGCGCAGTCGTCTGGTCTTAACCTGGTCAATGCTACTCATGTTTTTCTCTGCGAACCACTTGTCAACACTGCGATTGAGCTTCAGGCCATCGCCCGTGTGCATCGAATCGGTCAGCATCGGCCTACTACCGTCTGGATGTATCTCGTATCTGATACCGTTGAGCAATCAATCTACGAGTTATCAGTCTCTCGCCGCCTAGCTCATATTGTCCAGAAGGAGAAAGTGAAAGAGTCACTGGACGACCCTGGAGCCGTATTMAAAAATCTGACTGAAACAGCCATTGATTCGGCAAACTCCTTAGAAGTACAAGATGCGGCACTGGCAAAGCTGATGACAAAAGGAACAGCCGGGGGAGAGCTCGTGAAGAAGGACGATCTATGGCAATGCCTTTTTGGCAATGCTACCCAGAAGATGGATCTGAGGGCGGACGGGGAGGTGGCGAGGTTTTTGCGAGGTGATGCAGCAGAGAAAAGAAGGGCCGATGCTTCTTCATGATCCTACGATATATAATGACTGATGAGTTGCCTTAT